TTAGAATGTTTTATAAAATAACATAGCAAAATAGTCTTAACATATTATAGTATAAACAAAGCATTGGATAATAATTTATAAAATGCATACTTGTTGGTGAAATTAATTTATGATGATTTGATTAAAATCCATAGGTTCTCAAATTGTTTTTCAATTGAATTCTCCAAGAAACGCTCTTTAAGATTATGTACAAATTAAAATTATTATCCTTGAGTAGCGCCAGAATATAATTGTCGGAATTAAAAAAGATTTATTGCAGTATATTATGTTGATGTAAGCGATACACTTATCTGACACGATATTGTTATCTTATTCCTTTATTATAGTACACGATTCCTCGAGACAATCTTAGGAACGTTTAATATCCTCTTGAAGGGAATTACCATTTAAGACCGGTGGGAGTCTCTTAAGTCTTGCACAATTAAAGTAATTAAATAATTTACAGTTATTTGTAATTATCATGATGTTAATAATTTACCAACACAATTTGTTTAATCGGAAAAAAATAATGGCATTAACAATTCTAAAGAATATAAATAGCTATAGCCTTAGGTATACGCGTTATCAAATACTGAATTTATGATATAGGTACCTATTATTATATCTTAGTCATTTATTATTTTAGTGATTATTCAAGACAATAAACTACTAAATAATAATAAAAAAAATATTGTGGAGCCATGGCATCTATTTTAATTATTTTGTCATACATATTTATCTACACCTATTAAAATTATAAATAAACATAATATTATGATATACGTAGGTATGCCTAAAGAAAAAAATGTGTCCAAATAAAAAAAAATCGTCGATCTACTCACAGATTAAAAAAATCGTTTTTATTTTTAAAGCGACATGGAAGACTGACTTAATTATACTCCAGGAAATAGAGTAAACAACGTTTTTGATTAAAATGCATCTATAATCATGAAAACTTCTTATACATAATTGGTAAGATTATTTACTTCTACCTATTGAGGTATTTCACAGTAATCAATCTAAATCAATGATTACTACTGCATAATTTAGCTGAATATGTAACTATGTAAGGCACATCTACATTTAAATTAAATCACTGTGTTATTTAAAAGAATGTTCTTGTATTATGTTAAATAAATAATATTGCTAAGATTGTATTGTTTTTGTTTATAAAACAGTTTAAACAAAGCTTTCTTTATGATTATCAGCATAATTGTATAAGTCCAACAAGTAAATATATTAAAAGAAACAATGGAATTGACGGTAACAAAATTAATATAATTGAGTATAAAATTTCACAGTTGAGACACTCTAATTGAATCAACTTAATTTACATGAGTGGGTCTCTGGGCCAATTCCGGTTTAGGCATCTTTCCAGTTTGTCCAGGGGTGTATTGGACGACACAGTATTGAAGAGGTTTTAATGCAACTTAATGTGATAAATTGTGACTGTTTCGTCTATTATTCGTATACATAATTCTTAAGAATATTTAAAACAAGCCACGGAGCATTTCTGATAATACTGCGGCATATCGATTTCAAAACAATTTCAAATATTTCAAATTTATATAGGGACCAAAGACATTGTCTATACAATGTAAAGTACTTAAACTATCATAGAAAAAAAAAGGAAAAAAACAAAGAGCCGAATACCTATCGGTTTATTCTAATTGGATTTACTTTTTATTTCCACGAAGCGGCAACGTATTTTGGAAGAGCACACACGAGCTCTTGATTTTTCATTACAACAGAAAACAGCAAACTTTACGCCGGGTTTTCACATTACATTAATCTCTCGGTAAACGTCTGTGGACCAGGAATAAAAAAAAAGTCTAAAAATAAACCTACGTGTACAGTCTACGTCTAATCGATCACTTAGACGGGTAGAGGTCCCAAACTTTTCGTATAACAAAACCTAATAGGAAATAATATAAGAAGGAAGAAAACATATAGTAATGCTAACCTATACAATTCAACCACCCCTACTTAACCTGCACCGTTGTATTCCAAATGGAAAATCCCAACCAACATATTAATATATAATACATATGTTTATGAATCAATAATAACCTCAATACAATTAAAATTAGTTAATTGCTCTGAAACAATAATACCATACATGTGTGTAAATATACATAATATAATGTGTATACGTGGATATCGTAACGGTGTTTAATTTATATTATTTTCACTATGATATATTTATACATATTATGCACCTGAAATCTATATGTGTAATATGTATGTGCTTCTCTGAATAATGTGAAAATTATATTATACAATACCCATAGCTATAATCATAATATTTATTACTTTATTAGGTTTCAAACATATAACATAATGAAAATTTTTTAGTTTTTACAGTTTATATTATTGTAGGTATTGTATAATTTATTTTTGCAATTAATTATTAACCATTTATTACTTTTAAATGATTAAATCAAATTTACTTTATGTGATCACAGTTATTTACAGTTTAAGAATAATATGATTTATGTGATTTATGTGATTTATGTAATTTGTATTGCCAGAATAATAATAATATAATTTTAATATTTGTGAGAAAAAAATCCATAAATGGCTGGTATTTAACGGTATATGTAAAATATAATATCATCGTATTATTTAATAGGCCTACTATGTTTTTTTATTTAGATTAAGATAATTTGAAATTGGTTTATCTCTTAAAAAAGGTTTTGGTAGTCTAGCAAAATTTAATCATAATTGTATTATTTAATTGAAATTATATTAACTATTCAAAAGTTAACTAACGAATACCGATGATCATTTTCTTAATCATAGGTCATGAAAAATATTTTTTTTCCCCCATCTCATTTTTGATTAACAAACAATCAAGACTCGCCATTTTTCTAAAATCTAAGTCAGACTTTATATTATGTACCTACTTGTATGTGTGTCATTCTTCAAATACGACTAAATACTCATTCATAATCATAAACCATAACTTTAATATTGATAATTAGTATGCCGTAAATAACTATGTTTATAATTTCAAATCAAATTTTTCCTGATGTACCTACTTAATTATTAATGTGTCAATTATTTCAAGTAATTATCCAGTAATAATTTAACAATAGTAGTTGATTTATAAATATATAGGTACTATATTGATTATTCAATAACTATTAAACATAATGTACAGACATAATAACTAAATCTATTTATCGTCCGAAAAATTGCATTTTGAATTCTTAAAAACCCAATGCTAAATCAATAAAACATAATATTTATTAATTATGACGCCTAGCATTCAACGTCAATATTTTCATTGATCAGAATCTATAATACCACAAACGAGTGAAGCTATGAATGGTTTCACTAATTTATTAGTGCAGTGTGTGTATTCATAGTGCTTAATATTCAGTGAATGTATATAGTAATTGAGTATATACCTATATAAATAGATATCAACTACAGATATTATAGTTATTAGATTAATAACTTCAGTAAGTTCCTAATTGTTTAACAGCTTCAAGTTTAAATGTAAATATATAGATGGCTGTATTAAGAGTCGTGTAATTCACAAGACCATGTCCGTAGGCATGTACAAAATTACAGATAAAATTCAATGATGTTATATAGGATAGAAACCATGCAGTAGCTATATTATGTTATGCTGGTGACATCAGACATGTTCGATCGCCAAGGCCGTAGATATGTTTAGGGCACAAAACCGACCCACAATGCCTAGGTACTATTATAATATTTTCTTGTAGACGAATTGTAAAACTTTTAATATGTATTTGAATCTTGTACATAAATACGATTTATAATATAATATTCATAAACGATTCAGGAAAAAAACTGTTGTGGACATGTGAAACTTAGTGGTTATACAGAGGGTGAAAATATCGTTTGGCCAAAGTCGCAATGAAGGTTAGCTAAGGTATTGGATAAAAACAATTTTTGATGTTTGATATTTTTGATTTTAAGCCATACATTGATGATAATTATGTGCTCAATATTTTAAACTATGAATTTGACGTTTTCGAGTATAACTGATTATTTAATTATCAACTAATAAATAAGTCCAATATTATATTTTTATCAGTTACTGGAATATACTTTAAAAACGCGTATATTTTCAGATAGTATTTTTTAAATATAAGTGCATATATGTTAATTCTATAACTGTTTTAACAGACATTTCAATGTACTTCTCAAGTCATCGCAAAAACATTTACTCGTTGGGAATTTTGACAAGTCTTGCCAATTAATAAGTACTTACTGTAAACACCGAATTTAAATACATAAGCTGCTGATAGGAACAGCCCAGGTGTATCATAAAGTATTAATAACTTAACTATAAAATGACAGAATTTGAAGAATATCAGCTAAATTTATCATAATAATTATTCATTCACACTTTTCTCAAAAAAAATTGTTTTTCGTATCCTTCATATTGTGATAGTTTTATACGTATTTAATTTAATTAATCTCTATGTGTAAACAGACCAATATTTTAGTGAATCTGTACCTCATTCACGGAAGCAGAGTTCAAATTAATTTTCAAGTACACTTGAAAGTTGTGTATTCTATATGCCATGGGTTTATAAAGGTAGAATTCAATAAAAACGTAAACGAAACAATATAACGGTTGCGTCATTGGCAATCAAGTATTTTTAACTTTTTCTCGTATACAATAGGGGGAATTCTTTCCAATTATTATTATCGTTCATCTCTCGGAATACGTATTGTAGCAAATAAAAAAATTAGGCAAACAACACAGCTAATCATATATGATATATCTGAAATTCTGAACTGTCACATGACGTACACGTTGATTTTTACCAAACAGTGATTATATTGTGTTTATGTTATCACGCTATCGTTTTTAGGCGACGAAAATGCGACTGACTACAACTGTTGACACGCATGAAATATATTATTATTATGATTATATTCAACCAGCATGATAATAATATTGTGATATTATTATAACCGTCGTGCACGACATTTTACTGTTCTGGGGTAAACGGGTGGGGAAAAAAATCACTTACCGCCAATGACGCGACAAATGAGCGCAATTCCGTCGCCCTCGTCGAGTGGACCCACCGTCATATTCAACTGCCTTCCCAACCTGTCGAACACGACCGGATGTTCTGGTGGCACTGAAACAAAACAACATAAAAACCATTAATCAATGATTAGATCGCGAAGTCATTATTAAATTTAATATTATTATTGTGCGTACACCTATTATAATATAGTGTAATTATCATTTTGGGATATAATATTACGGCGACACGAGTAAACGGCGAACGATGACGCGGTCAGTCGTAAATATTAAATCGCACGCGTCTCTCCTCTATTATCATCATCCGACAACGCCAAAAACCGACGGAAATCGATGCGGTGGACCCAAGTGTTGGCGGCCGGCAGAGCGGTGGTGCACAACCAGTGAAGCTAGGGGATGAGGATTATGTGGGGGCCGGGGGGGGGGATTGGGGAGACCGCCGTAGACACGACAATTGTTCGACTATTGTGTGTCCGCACGGCTTCCCTTTCCGGCCATATCTTGGACCGGAGCTATTATATATATATTATTTCCACAAAGCCAACTCCTCCTCCGCTACCGTCGCCACCGACACTATATACCACCACGCTATCAACCTCATCGCTGCACTTTCCCACCGTAACCACAGCGACGATGACGACAACGACTACGACGACGACGAGACTACGGCGATGACGATGAATGCCACTATACCTTTTATAACCATATATACCTATTATATCACCAACCACCGTACCCATGGTATTTACCATGTTTCGAACAATGTTCTGCAGCCGCCGTTCTTTCTCTCCATCTCCCTCTATCTCTCTCTCTCTCTCTCTCTCTCTCTCTNTTCGTCTTGAAACCAAGGTTTACTCGTGAAACTATATAGTAATATATTCAGTAGCTTATTAACATTATCCGAGATTAGTGTACATTTTATACAAATTCTCTCTCTCTCTCTCTCTCTCTCTCTCTCTCTCTCTCTCTCTCTCTCCGTATATATATATACTCGACAACGTTCGTATATACCGTTCGGATGGAAAATCATTGTTGCGCGATCGTGGACCAATGAACCTAATCAACTGGCAGCGTTGGTAAAGTGCCGACCCTGCTGCAGCGGACGGCCCGGGAAAACGGCGTGTAGACGATTTATATATATATATGTATTATGTATATACATATATTCCTTTCAGCGGAACAATTTGCACCGGTCATTTGTAGTGCGCGGCTGAAGCTCTTCCGGCGGAAAAAATTACAAATGGACTCGGCCGCCCCCATAGAGTAGTTGGTTAACAATAACGCGTGCCCCGCGACGCGCAATTTGTCGATGCCCCCCCCCCGCACCACCGCTCTCACCGGCCGCCAGGAAGCTTGTCCGATCGTCAACGCCGACTTTTGTAGTACCCGCAGCTGTCCGAATGTACATACTTACGCCACCCTCGCGGCGTGCATACACGGTCCAGTGTTTTGGACCTATTGTAATTAGAACACAGAAACCGTTTAAGGTCCAATCCTCTCGTCTGCGTCCGACCGTTACACTATACGACACTCGCAGTACACACGTATAATATATTTCAATAGTAAGTATACGCCCATTAATGTTCTGCTACAGAGTTTAAAAATTAAACCTAATGAGTCACAAAAATTGATTCCGTTCAGACAAAAGTTCAGTATTGACAATATATTGATCGTCATATTTTCAATCATACAGATTCTGAGCATAAATTGTTCGAAAAACATGTTTATTGAACGGATACAATTTAACACGCGATTATCACATTATATTATGAACCTCATAATATTTGAGATACGACGTAAGTCAATAAGATGTAATTCGGATAAAACAAGAAAAAACTGTTTTTACGGTAGGTACCTGTGACACACTATTATTTCTCTTTCGTACTGATTATTTACAGTGGTACGCAGTCTTAAAATTAAATTTTTTTTTTTCGAAAAATATTCACACACGATCCGTCTATCATTTGATAGCATATTCCACAGAATATCTCGATTTGTAATATTTTGTGACTTACGCATAGACACTTAAGACATATAAAACAACTAGATAGCACATTACATTCCCACAGGAACGTTGAAGTCGTGCTGCCATATTATGTCAACAGGGCAATGTTTACAAGATAACTCAATAGAAAATATACCTATACATGGTACGTATATATTACGAATATACGTATATTATCAATCATGCGATTTCGCCCTGCTGGCATACGGCTGCCGACTTCAATGTTATATCGTTGTCGGCTATCTAGTTTTTTTTATACGGCTATGGACTTACGTCGTATTCCAAGTAGGTGGTTCGCATATGAAGTTGTATAAAGTCATCAGAACTGTAAACTCGAATAAACCTAAGACTACACGCGTAGTGGACGGCTTTTTGGATAATCGGTGGACAACTCTTGTGCGCACTAGTATCAATCGAGAAGATATTAGATCATTGTACAGGAACACAATATTTTAACGAACGTAATTAGGTGCCGACTTATTACAATAGAGTTGAGTGTGTTTTAAGTAATTGCCTATGGTCTTATGAGACGTTATAACACGCAACACTGTATACTATTTAGGTACCATTATTATGACTACAATTGCTGTGACAAATGGCGTATGTTATCTACCGAATTCGTCTTGAAACCAAGGTTTACTCGTGAAACTATATAGTAATATATTCAGTAGCTTATTAACATTATCCGAGATTAGTGTACATTTTATACAAATGCATTAGTGCACACTGTATACATTTCAAACGATTAGTGTACATAGTGATGTTGTCCTTATAATTATGTATTAAGCGAGTGCGGTTCGCATTATTATAGTACCTTGATACGCATTTCAAACGACTGTATATTATGTATGTAATGGTTAAGTCAGGTCCTAAATATTGAAACAGACGAATAATTTCACCATCCTTGGAAATAAATACAGCGACCTAGATGGTCCTTCAGCTGGTGTGTTAGTATGCCTATCCTTCGTAATTTTTAACCCCACCCCTCCGGTAAATATTATATGCTAATACGTATTATAGTATGATGACATTTCATGGTTGGAAGTAAGGTTTGTTTAGGTTTACGGAACATTTTTGCTCTCAGTAATGCATTATTTATTAACATGAGGAGATTTTCTAGAACAAATCAACCTGTAGCAGTACTATATAATATCGAAGTAATTTACAAAAGTAATTTTACAACTTAATATACTTTTATCGGTGGTAAATATAATGAACTGTTGGACCGCTGTAATCAAATTCTAGAAACTATTTAATAATGATGATGGTTAACATATTTTCATAATATTGTATTATAATTATTAGGTTATAACGCTAAATAGTAAATATGCAATAACAATGGGTATATAACAGCTGAATTCACGGCTATCCATATAACACATGATTATGCATTAATAAATAATTATAATAACATCATACAAATAAAAAAAATAAAAAAGGTGAAAAATCCCGTCACTGTCAATTATGGTTCGGAATATATATTTAACACACAACTCTCCCCTGAAAAAAGTATAAAAAGCACAAAATATGTAACACGATTTTTATTTTGTTGAAAAAGCTCATAAATAACAATAATAAAAAAAAAACCAGAAATTTTACAACGAACACTTGTTCTGATAAGTAAAAAGTGCCACGTGGATTACTCAGAATTTCATTTTTTTTTTTTTTATTCACGAGAATATAATATATAGCCTCACTGTAAAATGCCAATACAATTATATTTAACGAGTCCGTCAATAGAAAAAAAAATCGTACAGGGATCGTTCGAATACCGGTGTACTGTTTTCCTCATTTGTCTAATTGAAAAATATTTTGTCAGTGGATGAGATATTCGGGAGAGTGGAGACTTTACCAGCAGCATTCAAGTGTATATAGCTTTACAACGAAATTCCTCAGTTATTTTCCACCGCCGACAACGAAGGAATATTCAATTACTTTCCCGGAGCGTCGAAAGAAATCGCTCCTTTCACCCAGCACACTTTGTCGTCCCAATAAGCCAGCAAGCCTCGTAAATACCCAGTGAGTCATTTCATAGGTTTTGATTTAATATTTTTACTTGCACGGGTACGGTACCTATTATCAGTGTTAGGATGAAAGAGTGGCAGTAAAATATGTATTTCCGTATTTATGCTAAATATAAAGTAACATGAAAATAAGCTCTTTGAATGACGTGTGCTAAAATTCAACGATGAACACGAAAAATAATTGTTTTGCCATATTTATAAAATAAATTTCATTTTTAAAATAACTGTTATAGTTGTATGGAAATAAAAAAAAAAATACAAAATAAATATTGTTACTTAAGTACTCATACCAATAAATTATTTGATTTAACTGTATACAATATGTATCTAAATAAAATATAATGCAATGGATACGCTAGTGAGTGTTTTTGAATTTGTATCATCCTATGATTTAAAAAAATGTATTGCCAGTTGAAATTATTAAAAAAAATCGTTGATATAATTAATTTGTTATATTATCTACATTTGATTATTTTTGTATGAAAAAGTTAATTATGACGTAATAATACTACGATTTGAAGTGGTACTTAAAACCTTAAATGTTCATGTAATATTGTAAATGTACCAAAAAAGCAAAACAAATTTTGGCTATATTATGTGGCTCCCGGATATCTCCGACTTAGATTATTCACGATTGCCCAATAATAATAATATTATGTAAATTGCTACAAGTTGTGAGCCATTTATTACACGTGAAAAAGTCACGCTGAACAAACAACGTCACCTATTATAGTCGTCATATAAAAAATATAAAATAATAGCTTTATTTAATTCATTAATACAATTATAATATTAACTATCATAATATCATATTGTTCTACAACTCAACGGTGAGTGTGTGAACTAACTAAATTACCTATAAACTATTATAATACTATGAGTAGGTATTGCAAATGCATAGTAAATACAATAATTATATTTTGTAATAAATTGTATAGGATGGTTTTGGTGCAATAACATTTCAATTAATCAGTAAGAGAAGTGTATACTAAATAGCTTAATATTATAATAATAATTATTATTTGCTTGCAATTATTATTAGTTTATTCTAAAGATACATCCCCC